AAATGTCTCTTTATAGTCAACACCACTTTTCTGAGTGAAACCTTTGGCAACAAGTCTGGCCCTGTGTCTTTTGATATTGCCATTAGAGTCGTGTTTGGTCTTCCAGACCCATCTATTACCAACTCTTTTACAACCTTCAGGCAAATCAACAAGGTCCCAAACTTCATTTTTGTACATAGATTTCATCTCTTCTTTCGCGGCAGCTAACCATTTACCAGAATGCTCACTTTCCATGGCTTGTGAAAATGAAACTGGATCATGATAGAGTCCTAAATCAGATTCTAACTCGTGAAGATAAACCTCATAATCATCCGAAATTGCAGGTCTTCGATTTCTTTTAGACCTTCTTAATGCGATTTTTTGTGGTTCATCTATGTTAGGTTCATTCTCAATAGCAATATTAGGTGGTGCTTGACCGTTCATTTGTTGTTCTTGCAAATCGTTATCATGCTCAACATGTGCAGGAACAACAACTTGAGAAGAGGGAAGAGGCAAAGAGATTTGCACTCTAACTTCTTGAATTTCCACATTGCGTGGCTCTAAGCTCCCACTAACTTCACCATTCTCAATGAACCTAGCATTTCCAGTTTCAACAATTCCTGTACTATGGTTAGGGCAATAAAATCGATACCCCTTAGACTTTCTGGATAACCAATGAAGAAACCACTGATTGTTCGTGATTCCAGCTTCTTTTCATGTGGATTACATATTCTCACTTCCGCTGGGCAACCCCAAACATGCAGGTGCCTTAAAATGGGTTTCCTTCCCGTCCACAGTTCAAAAGGTGTCTTAGGAACTGCTTTACTAGGAACCCTGTTTAACAAATACACAGCGGCCCTTAAAGCGTGCATCCACAATGATTTGGGTAAAGATGAATTGCTTAACATACTCCTAACCATATCCATTAAAGTACGATTCTGCCTTTCTGCAACACCATTTTGTTGCAGTGTTCCTGACATAGTGTATTGAGCACAAATACCACGTCTTTCTAGGAACTTAGCAAATGGACCAGGGCACTGACCACTTTCATCATATTTTCCATAATATTCTCCACCTCTATCAGATCTGACAATTTTCACCTTTCTTTCTAATTGCCTCTCAACTTCATTGATAAACACCTCAAGGGTATCTACCGACTGAGATTTTTCATGCAGCAAATAGATATATCCATAACGTGAAAATCATCGATAAAGGTAATGAAATACTTTCTCCACCAAGTGATGGAACATCGAAAGGCCCACAAATATCAGTGTGTATAATTTCAAGGAGCTGTGAGCTTCTTGTGGCTGCTTTCCTAAGTGTGTGTTTTGTGTTTTTTCCTTTAATACACTTAACACAAATTCCCAGGTCAATAAAATTCAAATGAGGAAGGATTTCATTCTTTACTAACCTTTCCATTCTTTCTTTGGATATGTGACCCAAACGTTTATGCCACAAGTAAGCAGAGGATTCATCAAACCACGCTTAATACCAATATTATGATGCAAGGTTAAGAGAGTCTCAACGAATAGGGTATCAAGCTTTAGTTTGTACAAACCATCAACAAGGGTACCAGAACCCAATAAAATATTATGTTTGAACAAACTAATAGAACCATTTCCAATGTTCCAAAAATACCCAGCCTTATCTAGTTGAGACACCGAAACCAAATTACGAGAAATAGAAGGAGCATGAAGGGTATTAACAAGGTCCAAATGATGACCAGTATCTAAAACCAAACGATAAGTTCCAATAGCTTCAACTGGAACTTTGGCTCGGTTTCCCATATAGATGAACTTCTCATTTTGCCTTATGGTTTGGGTCGTAAGGAATCCCTGCATCATTTTGGAAACATGAATGGTACAACCAGTGTCAACCCACCAAGTATTATAAGGAACCTCAGTTAAATTTGATTCAAAACATACTGAAGCACTAGGCTTACCCTTTCTTTCGAACCATGCCTTTCTTTTCAAGCAATCTTTCTGATAATGTCCGGCTTTCTTACAAAAGCGGCATATATCCTTACTTGGCTCCTTCTTGTGGATTTTGGCAGATGACTCATTAAGCTTTGATAGTCCTTCCTTACCCTTCCCATTCTTGCTCCATGGTTTCTTTCCAGCTCCTTTATGACCAACAAGATTGGCAGAATGATTTCCTGGTTTCTTAAGCCTTGTTTCCTCTTGAATGAGCATGCTTTGTAACTCATGCACATTCCATTTATCCTTTAGATTATTGTAATGCACATGGAATGTGCCATACTCTGGAGGTAAGGAATTAAGGATGAACGTTACTAGGAAATTTTCATTCACTTCCATTCCCATGGTCTTTAGTCTTGCTGCAATATTCGTCATTTCGACGATATGCTCATGCATGGTACGAGAACCATCAAACTTCATGGTGGTTAGTGTACCCATCAGTGTCCCAGCAAGCGACTTATCAGCAGAATCAGATTGAGAGCTTTCTTTCACGGAATTCATAAATTCTTTAGCACTTTCAGTATCATTGAAAGTTGACTTAATGTTGTTTGCTACAGTCATTCGCATAAACATTAGGCTTAGTCTGTTAGATCTTTCCCAAGCTTTATGGAAAGACTTCTCCTCAACACTGCTAGCATCAGTAAGAGCAGCAGGTTTCTCACTTAAGAGTGCCAAATCAAGATCCAGAACACCGAGGTGAAACTGAACCTGTTCAGCCCATTCAGAGAAGTTGAGGCCATTAAACTTAACAACAGACGTGGCTTGCGAATGAAGAGAAACAGGAATAGATGCTGCAAACATATATAACATGTACTCACACATTAATGCTTTGGGTAATAAGCATAAACTATAATACAGATTTGGAAGCATAAACATAAAATATATATTGGTGCTACCTTTGGGCAAAACAACAATATAAATGCGATAAATAATCGTAATTGATGCTCAAAATAATCATATAATTGGTGATAGACATACTTAAATTAGATATACTTGCAAGCTTTGGATATACTAAATATATCTAACCAAGCATATCAATTTACCACGATAATGTTCATGAATTATAAAACGAGCAATCAACCTTTGGGCGATTCAAAATATTTTATAATAACGAACTTCAACTTAAAAGCATCACATAAACATTAGCAGTTGAACTTGATTCAACTTGATATCTATAAACCTTCTAATTTGGCCACTTTGGTGACTAAAAAATTAATCATAAAGTAGATATCAAATGTAAAATTTTAACTTAAGGTAAGACAGTTGTTAATAATGTTTTGAAATATGCAGACCCAAAACTTGAGTCTCCAATTGCATATTGTTACTAATGGAAAAACAATATTAATCATCATTGAGACAAACATAAGGCTTTATCAACCTTCCCAAACTCTTAATTAATCGAACACATATACAAAAGCAATTGTAATCATCCCTAATGGCTTTTATCATGATTTTTTAGTTGAAAAGGAAACAAAGGCAAGATACTGTCATCGCATATCATTATAATTGAGGAATCAAACATATCAATATATCATGTAAGCATAAACATACATGCACTGCACAGATATATGTTCTTGATAAACGGCAAATAATTGCTCGACAGACAGAAGAACCAACCGCAAAGAAGTTAAATACAATTGTGTACAAATCTCGAACGCGTGGACTCAATTGAATAAACAGATGATCAATCAGAAGCATCAACAAGCTTTAATCTTGCATACGCGATTGATATAAATGCAGCAGAGACTAATCGAGCATAATACATAATCGAAAATCATCCATTCATATAAACCCTAAGACTCTGATACCACATGTAAACATAAATCATAATAGCATGGATCTTAGAATTAGATGATTTCACGAATCGGTAATAGATCAAGGAAACCTACCTCGATCCATGACGAGAGCGGCGGCGGCTTGAGTAGTAATCGTTGGAATTGAGTTTCTCCCTCTTGACCCCTTTAGGTTTTAGGTTTAGAGATTTCTATGACGGCTAAGAAATTCTACGTAATGGGTTGAGAGAGGACCAATCATAGGGTTTCTTTATATAGACCCACCATCAGGGTATATTAGGAAATTACCTTTCATTAACCTAACCAATATATGACTTACCTTATATATTAAACCATTAAGTGATAATTACACTTGGGCCACAATTATTCCCTAGTGATAATTGGGCTTACAAACTTAGGCATATATTTCCTATTTTATCGGACGTCTTCGAAGGGATAACTTAAGGATATAGGATATTATAGAGTTAGAAATTTTTAAATTTACAATTTTTTAAATTATAATTAGTAATTGAGTTGGAGACAAATAATCGTTCACAAAAAATATACTGTAGTTAATAGTTTGTATTAGCCAAAAGATGTGGTTATATTATAAGATAGAATTGTTGTACTAGAACCATTATCCGGTTGTGTAGTTTTTGACATGCGGTTAAATGACTACGTACTTTGAACTGCCTTGGAGGTTGGGGCTCAATTTTATCAGTAAAAGCGGCCGGTTCGATTTTAACATAAATGGTTATACTCTATATCGACGATCATATCTTTTATGTAGTTGTTTTTTAATACTTTGATAGACCAATGGGAAAAGTTGTTTTTGGTTGTTATAAGTCATTGTTATTTCGTTTTATAATGTGGTGGTTCGACTATTTTATTAATCAAGAATCATAAAATTAAACCGTACTAGAAGGAACACTTCTACTTTTTTTTGGTAGGAAGACAGATGCCAATGGCATCTTAGCTCGTATTAATTAAACGTTCATGGGTGATCCCCATTACATCAAAAGAAAGCCAGTGGCTAAGCCCCGAGTCAAAAATATCAAAACGATGGGCTCCAAAATGAAGGCCATGGCCTTTGTGTGCTAAAAAGTCAGCAGCGTTGTTACACTCTCTATAAACATGGGAAATCTGTACATCCCAGTCAAGCGCCAGAAGCCTGTTTATCTCGACTGTAACAAGGCCATGTCTGTGGTTGACATCATCACTGTGCTTGATGATGTTAATTGCAATGGTAGAGTCAAGGCAGAGGTTCACCTTCCTAAATCCCAACTCCCATGCCATTGAGAGGCCATACTCTGCAGCTTTTAATTCTGTTCTTGTGATGGAGCAGTTCCCGAAGTTGGCAGCGAAGGCTCCATGACATCGTCCCAAGCAATCACGAATAAGACCTCCGCCAGCTGCCTTGTTCTTCTCTTTAATGACAGAGCAATCAGTGTTGATAATAATCCATCCTTCCCTTGGAGGTGTCCACGCAAGCTGGTGACACTCCTTCGAGCTCTGCATCCCAACCTTCAGTTTTAGGTCATTCTGTTGGGGTCTATGCAGAACACTTGTGAAGGCGAAGATCCTGTTGATTAGACTTTGCTCACAGAAATTCTTCCCGTCCAGGGTTTCTTCGTTTCGTTGTTTCCAAACATGCCAGAGTATGATGCCGAAATCGACACCCTTCTCCTCATTTCCCAAATTCAACATCAACCATCTCTTGAAAGGAATTGTCCTGTTCTTGGTTGTAACAGATTGCCTGAAAAATCTCCAAACTCCTTCTGTCTTCTTGCAGCTCCTTAGAATATGTTTTGTTGTCTCTTCACATCCCACACATCCTGGAGCTTTGCATTCACTGTCTTCAGTCAGTTTCCTACGAGCTCTCTCTTTATTCGTTAGCAGCTTCTCGTGGAAAGTGAGACAGAGGAAATGTTTGATTCGGCTTGGGCCTTTCCACTTCCACAATTTCTTCCAGTTGCTTCCTTGCACTTCGTCGATTTCCTCCGCAGCCAGTTTGTAAGCAGACTTGAGTCTGAATCGTCCATCGGATTCCAAACCCCAGATGATCATATCGTCTCCCAAATCTTCTTTTGGTGTGTTAGTGCCTGCAATAAGGGAAAGGATGTCGTTAGGAACACTTCTACTTTGCTATAAAGCATTGGTGTTTTAATGTACAATTGGAAGTTGTACCATAATGTTAAACGTATAAGTTCAGGTTGTACCATAAAGAAATTTGTACCCTTATATTATGGTACAATTTGAAGTTGTACCATCACATAAATGTACAAGTTCAAGTTGTACCATAAAGGCAAAAACCAATAGCACCAATACTATATAACATTGTAAAATTTCTCTACTAGAAGTTGTAAGGTACACGACATTGGTATGATATTTTATATTCTTCTAATTTTAATTCAATAGACTTCTTCTCAACCATACTTCTTGTTGGGATGAGAGAGAAAGTTGAGAGAGAGAGGGTGAGGGAGAGTGGGTGGGTGGGGGAGTGATCGAGTCTTAATACAGAGTAAAGATCGACTAGGTTTCTCTTTTAGATGTAGGGGCTGCTCGGTTGAATTAGTGGAAGATCGGTCTTTTTCGAATGCAGGATTCCGATTGGCAGTGCGGTCAACGGGTGTGGCACATTTTATTTTCCTTGATGAGGCGTTGATCGATTGGCTCCAAGGAGTGTTGCAGGTGGCACTGATGCATGGATGGAATTTTTCGGGTAAAGATGTGAGACAAAGCGGATCTCGTGTGCTTCATGTTGGGGGCATGATAAAGAATGGAGAGTGTTTCCTTCAGTTGTCAGAATCTTGTAGGACAAGAAACAATTTCTGTGTTGGTGCCAATGGATGATCTTCTCTTGGGCTAGTCTTCGTTTATTAAATCCATTCAGAGTTTGTCAAGATGTATTCTTCAGCGAAAGCGCCATTCTATCGCCTCTGTTTCATCCCCAAAAACTAATATCCCGATGACATTGAACTCAACGACGGCGGGTTCGCGAACCTCTTTTGCTGATTTGTTCAAGTCGTTAGATTGGCCAAACAGTGGAAGTTGCTCTGTGCAGACCCGTGAAGGCTCAAAGGTTGTGATGGTCTCAAACCAAGGGGTGAAGGTCGGGAAGATTTTCTTCAGCCATCTTTGGTTTTGAGGTTGGTTGGGCGAGGTATTCCAATCTAGGAGGACTTTTGAACTTGGGTTCAGAAAAACTATTGTGTTTCATATTCAAAGACCCAACCCCTTAGCGATTGTCTTTGGCTAATGCCATGTTCCTCGGGGGGGGGGGGGGGGGGGGAATGGACCGGGTTATGGCTCTTAATCGATAGCAATATAAGTATTTTCAGAGTTTGGCTGATTATTGGATCGAAAATGCAGGGAGATCAGGTTTTATTCATTCTCTTGGAGAAGTCTAGGTTTGGATTGATGGAATCCCCCTTCAACTGTGATCCGATGGGCTTCTCGCACAACTTGGAAATTTTTGTGGAGAGTTCAGATAAATTCAAGATCAGGAAGTTTCTCTTAAGGAAGTGTGAATCCGGATTGTTCCCAACGAGGTGATTCCAGACGAAATTCCCCTTTGCTATAGATCATTTATTTTTTCGGTGAGAGTTGCGGTGGAACCAATAGAGCCACAACCGATCATTGACTCTGGTGATCGCTTTCTTCATGGCTGGAAGGGAAAGGGGCATGGGGTATACGTGAGGAAGAGGAGAGTGCATGGGGTATACATGTCTTCAAATGGCCCACGTACTGAGAGTATCAGATCGAGGACTTAGAAGATTGCGTGTGAAAGGGTGGATGCAATGTCTTGTCTGGTTAATTCCAGGGAGAGACTATTTGAGGGGAGGTATATCAATGGTGAGGGGTGGATGTGTTCCACACTCCATAGGTGATGTTCGTTTGGTTTCTAGTGCTGCTTCGAATGGTGGTGAATTTTTGACAAGTGAGAAATTGAATGGTAAAGATAATAGGGTGGCTTTTGAAGAGGGAGAAGTCAACAATGATTGTGACTCGTTGGTGGGTCTGGAGGTTTATCAAGTGAGGGTGGGCCAAAGGGTTGTAATTAATGGGCTGGCCCAAGATTTTGTAAGGAATAAAGATGGTGAATGAGCTGATTTTCTTGGAGAGAGCTCTGACTCACTCCTACTGTCACTCTAGAAAAAGGCCAAGTGTAACCACTTCCTAAAGCATAGTATAGCGGGTTTGGTTTTTATTGTCAACCCGGGTCCTAGATGTGATGACTACTCAGAGAATTCGTATTATCTAGCAATGCAACTTTAGTGAAGATATAAACTAACAAGCAAGCAAAGTAACTAAACGGTTGTTTTCAGGTTAAGAGAGGTCACCCGGATATGGTTCCCCCTAGCCTGCAGTTAAGCCGGATTGTAATTACCAAGTTCAATTTCTATGATAGTTATACTGCGGAAGGTTCTCAAACAGTCTGAAGTCTCGACTAAAGGTCTTCAGACCCTCTCAATCTGAGTCTCTAGCGGGCGACTAACCTCCACCGGAGTAAACAGATTGAGGCCCTAATGAACCAAACCTCCACTACCGAATGGAATTCGGTACAGAATAGCGAATTGGCTCCTCGACTAAAGTCACCAATTCGCCACCTTCGATTAAGGGTACTCTATCAACCTAGGCAGATATTCTCATTCTAGGTCAAAGCAGAAACAACAGGAATTTGATCAGGATTCAAGTCATTCAGTCATTCAAACCTCAATCGAATATAATCAAGTCATAGAAACAGTACTTGGGTTCATACAATCAATCCTAACATACAGAACTAGGGTTTCCCACACCCAGATGAATGGGAGAACTACTCCATGGAGAAAGAAGCAAAGCAGAATCAGACGCGGAAATCATACTGTGAAGATGGATTTCTGCTCCTGGACGTTGAATCGGCACCTCTCCAAGCTCAAGCCAAGCTCCAATGGTGTTGAAGATCAAGCTAGGGCACTTGGAGACTCTTGTTCGTCGCTTTCTCTCTCTAGGAATCGTTCTGTCTCTCAAAAACTCGAATCCCCCTTCTGTTTTGGCTGAAGTCTGCTTAAAAACCAGAATTCCCCGACTCGCACGGCCAGGTTGCACGGCCGTGCGGCTCACCATCTTGCCCGTGCGGCTCAAAACGCGGCGTACCATTAAGTCGATCCTCAGCCATCTCACACGGCCAGGGTTGCACTTTGCACGGCCGTGTGGATCTCACTTGTGCCCGTGTTTGGCCTCGCAGAATTCCGCACGGCCAACATACATCCTCGCACGGCCGTGCGGGTTTTCTGCTCTGCCCGTGTTTGCTCTCGCACAATCCCACACGGCCAAACTGGTCACTTGCACGGCCGTGCGGGTTTTGGGTGTGCCCGTGCGACTTCCTCAGAACCTCGCCATGCGTCCGATCCTCGTCCAGTCGACCCCAAACTCGCTCCCAAGCCTCCATTCACGTACTAGGACCTGAAATATCATAAACAAGCACAACCTAGCATGAAATCGGCCTAAAACACGAGAATCAACACCTCAAACGGAGTAAGAGCAAGGGTAAAAACATGTGTAAATAACGGTCTATCAAACTCCCCCACACTTAACCGTTTGCTTGTCCCCAAGCAAACCTATCTCAAACCAATGCAACTCTCCAGACCTCTGTAGCAACAAACAACCTCGATCGTAGGTAGAGGACTTCCTAGATCATTTAGCAGCTTACGAGGTCAACCGACGCACAAGTCATCTCATAACTTCTTCTGCGAGAACACTAGTCCCGAGTCGGCATCATGGTAAATAGTGAACAGAGGACAAATGAATCGTGGATGCAGAGACTCTCAAAAACAAAGATCATGGACTCACATTAATTCCAGGTGCTCGATTTTCTTTTTGAAACTGGTTGGAACCCCTTTTCTTTCTTCTTTTTGCTTGTTTTTCTGTTTTATCTTTTTTTTTCCAAGGGTCCAACCTGTTTTTGCAGAAAACGGGGGCTCCCACCTAGCAAAGGTTTTGCGGGAGCCCGGCTCTTACCGGCCATGCCAGGAGCAATTGTCTCGAGCCTCGTGCGGGGGAAAGACATGAAAGGGGGCTGGAGGTAGTAGGTGGAAATTGGGAACGGATTCCCTTCTCCCCTTACACACTTTCACCCTATTCGCAAGGGAGACGTTATTTTAAAGCACATTTTCGAGCACCTGTTATTTCCAAAACATGATACAAGAGTCCATGACAGGCAGAGAGTCTACAACACCACACAATTCAAGGGTCCTAAGATCACTAATTCACACAATCAACCAACACAATATGAAGAAGAAATGAGACTTCTTAAATGCATCAACATCCTCCATAGTGCTACACTACCTCCCTAGGTTGCAAATCACTACAGAGACTGTCAATTCAAAGCATACTGAG